AGAGTACCGCATGCTCGATCACACACGCTCAGAATCATGTCCTCTCGGCCTCCAGGAACCTTCTCGTCGACACGGGTGGACTCCTCGTGCACCCAGGGGCCAGTCCGCTGGCCGACTTTTGGACGGACGTGGCGTCGTGAGAGAATCGCGATGGCAGATTGTTGGTCGTGTTCGGCCTCTGGGGGCCCTAGCCTGGCCCCAGGGTCCGTTGACCGACGGCACGGGATGAAAGGGTCGAGACCTCTGGTGGTCCACCTTGTGGCAATCCACGACGTCGGGGGTCTTGAGGGTCTGGGACCTCTGCGCTCTCGTCGAAGCCGTTCGTGCGGGGAGGCGACGCTGGGAACGAGGCTCGAGGACAGATGCTGTCGTGCTAGAGGCTTCTCTCCACTGTGTGCCTCCCAGGCGGCACCCCTCGCCGTCGAACATCCATCCAGGAAGAAGGCTGGCCGGGGCTGATCCCAGGAGGGGCCTGGGGACCCGCTGAGGTCACGGAGAGCTTCGAGGGTCGAGCTTCGAAGTGTTCGACCTTTGCCTTTTACCCAAGCAGTGCTTGCACGGAGGAGGAAGAGGAGGAGGAGGAGGAGGAGGAGGAGGAGGAGGAGGGTCGGAACGAGAATGGAGCATCACCCTCGTCCATGAGTTGCTTCGTCTCTCAGGCCCTGGGCCTGTGGGCCGCTCTGGCCGTCATGTGACCGCCGTCGCCGCCTCGTCGCCGCCTGCCGCCGCCAGTCGCCGCGAGCCAGCGGGCCGCTTTTGGCCGCCGTGTGGCCCCCGGCGCCGCCTCGTCGTCGCCCTCCGCCTGGGCCTCTGTGGGCCGCTCCGGCCGCCGCGTGACCGCCTCCTCGCCGCCTCGTCGCCACCTCGTCGCCGCCCGTCGTCTCACCGTGCTGCAGTCGCAGCTGCATTGCAATTGAGATGCTTTTGCGCTGCACTGCATTGCACTGCACTGCTTTTTGCACGACTGTGCTCATGCTGTGCATCGGTTTGCCTTGCACTGCATGGCATTGCTTTTTGCGTTGCATGGTTTTGCTATGCTTTGGATCGATGTGCATTGTGTTGCGTCGTGTTGTAGTAGATTGCATTGCGCTGCTATTCATCACTTTGCATTGCATTGCATCGCATTGCATTGTGTTGCTTTGCGTTGTCATGCACTGCGTTTCATTGTCATGGGTTGTTTTGTATTGCGCTGCTGTGTGTTGCTTCGCACTGCTTTAGGATACATTGCCTTGCTTCGCGTTGCGTTGTGTTGCTTTGCGCCACATCGATCGCACCACCTGGATTCCACCGTTTAGATTTAACCGCGTGAACTGAAATAAGTCACTCGTTGCTTGTGGCCAGCACTGGCTAATACCTACATGTCTGGGCCGCTGGGTGAGAGGTTTTGAGGTTTAAGTGAAAGGAAAGTTCGAGGTTCGAGGATCCAGAGCTCCACCGCCTTGAAGATATCCAGCGTCTTACAGAAATCAAGCCAGAACGGCTCCTTGCTCTTTGACGTCCAAAGGCCGCTTCCAGGCCATAGGGCCGTCAAACACGATCTGGGGCGAAAAAAGCAATACAGAGGATGGGCGACGGTATCTTCTGGGCACCCCGTGTTGAAAGCAAACGGGATCGGAGGTCTGAACCTCGAACTTGGAGGATCAAATTGCGGGGGGACGTTGCCTGAGGCTGTAAGCACCACGCGAGAAGTAATTCGTGTTCTGACCGCGTCCTTCGCCTTCACGCCGCGGCCGCTTTTCACACTGTTCCACATGTCATGTGTCCAGATATACAAAGAAGCTTTTCCGCGACCCAGCCATTGCTACATGACTCTACGTGCATCGCGCCGCCAAACCGCGACGCCCGCCGCCTGGGGCCCTGGATCCGAGCGGGTGGGCGATGGCACGCGGATGAGCTTGATGAGCAAAATCCGAGCGGGCCTCGCGGCCCCTGTTGATCCTATCCTCCACGCCCTCCGAATAGGGGCTCATCGCGATCGGCCTGCGCATCGCGCGCAGCTTCGAACGCACGGGCCCCCCCTGGCCGCCGCCCTTCTTCATGCGGAAGTACGGGAGAAAGTCGCCAAAATAATCATGGGGTAGGGGGGCCGAACTCTACGCGCCGAAACTTTTCCGGCCCCGCGCTGAAATTTGCACAGAAAGCTGATCCCGGTGCATGCGGGACCCTGGCGCATGCAGTTTTCGTCGTTGCCCTCGGGGGGCGGAGAAACTAAGCGTGCGCCGCGCCGCCCCGGCGTCGCCCCGCCCGTCAAGGAGCCCTGGGGCTGACAGCTGGCCACAAGGAAAGCGCGCGCTCCAATTCCCGATCACCAGAATGACCGCGGCGAAAAACGCGAGGGTCTCTGCGTCCACGTGAGGCGCCTAGGCCAGCTTGACAACAACTGCTCTGATGTGAAGTCGCCGCGAGCAAAAGTTCTTCTGTCCTCCTTTCGCTTTGTCCACGCGCATTGATCGCGCTTTTGCCCCCGCGCCCACTGGGGGGCCGTCCCTGAATGCAATGTAGAGCACCGCAGGCGGCCCGATAGTTGTCGCGCCAGCTGCGCCGCATTCAAGCGCAGCCTCTCGATGGCGGTCATCCCGTCGTTGCTGTCGTTCCCCTCTGATCCACGCGACATGCCAGTCATGTTTCTCGCCCTCCAAGGTCCATCGCGAGGTCCTTCGGTGCGCGTGAGGCCCCTGCTGCATCTACTTCTGTGGTCTGGCCCCTCGCGCCGCTGCGCTGGCTGCCAGTTCCTGCCTCGGCGCTGACCCCCCGGCGCATTCGGTCCGCTGGCGCGCGCGCGCGCGCGAGCGCATGCGAGATGGAGGTCGATGGCGGCATCTTCGCGGCTGCGAGCGCCGCTGCAGTGGACTGGGAACGCCCCGGGCCGAAAGTCAAACGACGTAATGCGCGCGGGACAGGATGGCTGAGTTTTCTATGCAAGGATACATGCATCACGGAGACGCAATGTTCTGCATGCGAAAGCTGTTCTGCGCCACGGGCATTCGTTTATCGTAGCTCGCACCGGGTAGATGTTCCCCATATGGCGCGCGCGTGTCACGCGCGCCGCTAGGGCTCGCATGGCGATGGACGAGCTCCCGCGCATCGCGCCGCCGTCAGTCTCGCGCGCACATGCGCAGCGCACTCGTAACCAGCGCTGCCGCGGTTACAAGTCGCGTCGCTCTCGACCTCCAGCGGCCCCATCTTGGCGGCGCCCCCCTCGGTCACCGATTTCAGCCCTGGGCGGACAGGTCTCTCGCGCATCTTCTCGGGGCCTTCACCGCCGGGGGACCTTCCGGCGGGGGCCCGCGCGGATCTCGTCGAGGGCCTCGCTGAGAACGTGGTCCTGGGAAGGGGCCAGGACGTCTTTATCTCCTATTGTTTCTCATGCGCCAGGCGCCGCGAGATTTCGGCGGCGCTGCGCCGCCCGCGGCGCGATTTGCTGTTTTGCCGCGCCGCCGGGGTCTAGCCTGCCCGCCCCCAGCTGGTGGTCGAGCTCCGCGGCCCCCAATGTACCATCAAGACTTGCCGGCGATTTTCCGAGTTAGCTGGCATCTTCTGCCGCTGACTGACGCGCGGGGCTCTTAATTTAGCGGCGGCGCGGCTGATATTCCAGCGCTCGGAATTTACACGCTTGCTCCGAAAAAGAATCCCGCCCCACATGCTCTGGCGAGGCGTTGGCTCCCATGAGATGGACCGTGAGGCAGCGATGTGGACGCGCCGGCGCAGCGCCCAGTGAGCCTGCGGAATGCTTTGGCAGGACGCAAGCGGCGAGACCTGCGGTCGCCGCGCTGCAAACAAAGCGCAAAAACAGCGCGCGCAACAATCTCTGCTGTAGAGGCTGGGGCCGAGCTTCCCCTAAAGACCCCCGCGCTGCCCTCGCCCCTCGCGCGAGGTTACAAAGCTCCGCGCGCGGGGCCCCGTCGAAGCTCGCCGTCGGGCCAAGGGCCTGAACTTCACAACGGACTGGTCCAAGGTTTTTTCCTGTGGGCTCGATGCCCCCCGCGCCGTGCAGAGATCGCGCGTGGTTCGTCTTGTCTGCGTTCAGGTGATGGCCATTGTTGTGGACGCGCTGCTGCGGCGCGCTCGCGGCGCGGTTCAGCAGCTGCGCGACCCAGGCTGCGCGCTGTGCGCGCGTGCGCATGAATTCTCGATGCGTCGCCCTCGAGACGCCGGTTCCTGTGTCCGCGGTGTCCATGCTGATCGGGCAGTCTTGTCGGAGTAGTGCATGGCTGCGTTGCATTCGGCGTCGCTACGCGCTTCGCTCCATTCATGCATGGACGGCGAATCTGCGTTCATGAAGCCCCCTGCCGCCAAAGAACGCGCGTTGGCGACGCCCTGCTGCTGCGGGGAGAAGGCCGCCTTGCCGTCGACGACGTTGGTCTGTATGGTAGATTGTTCGACTGCTGAGAAGGTGTGTATTCTCTGTCCAGCTGCATGCGATGCGTGCGCGCGTAGCTTGGCACGGCGAGCGTCGGCGAAGGCGTCGGTCGCGTCGTTGCTAGATAGGTCGTGACTGATGCGCGAGGTTCTCAGTCTCCTACCACGCCGTACACACACTTAAGATTGCCCCCCCCTTCCGTCTTCCTCGATACCCTCCGCGAGCAAAGCACAAAGGCGTAGGCCTTCTGGAGACCCGCTGTAACAACCCAAAGTAGGACGCGTCGAACGCGTCAAAACAATGCGAGACCCTCTGGCCCCTGAGGCCCAGCTGGGATTTTTTGGCAAGCGCATGCGCTTGGGGCCCAGTGGCCGACAAAGAGACCACTCCGACTAGCCGAATGAGCGCCAACATGCCGTTATATCTTGAAGGCAACAAAGCGAGTACGCACGTGCCTTCTGTCATTCTCATTCGTACAACTTAAGAAGTCCACGCGCGTGCACAGTGCTTCTGCCAAGACGCTCCACGTCGGTCCTGCTATCCTGTTCGGTGCTTTTCTGACGTATGTGATATGGCCTGCTCTGTCTTGTTTGATCGTGTCCGTAAGATTCTCAAGTGCACGGATGTGCGGCAAGAAAGATTAGTCTCCAATCCTGCTCTCCCACGATATTTTGCTGCAGTCCATCCACGCAGCGGCATGCCGTGGCGCGGTGCGAAAATGAATATTTTTGCGGCCCGCGGCAACGACCAGCAAGCGTGACACGAAGACAGAGTACCTCAGCGTGTCTAGCTTGACGCCAGGCGCGATTGATCTCCTCGATTCGCTTCTCCGTCCATTCCTTGCTTTGCTGTAGTCGCAAGGCTAGCGCTTTACGCGATCGCCGTGTGGGTTCCTTCTCGGCGTCGCCGAATACCATGGAGACGTCTCCTTGGACATCTTTCGTGCATGTGTCTCGAAACCGCTCTCCACGTTTTCCACGTTGTAGCAATAGCTCCATTCTCCGTTCACGCATATGTTCATAATCAACACGTGCGCCCAAACTGGTGGGCAAGTAACTTCCGTTGCTTCGCGAGCGGCATGATATAATTTATTCGGCGCCTCCTGTACGTCACTTCGGTCCCACGTCGTTCGCCACCCATCTTCCGGTATATTGTGTGTGTGTGTTCCTCTTCCGCTTCTGGAGAAAACTCGTTCCGCCGGTAAACCCAAGGACTTTTGCCTTGCTGATGCTGTCTAGCCAGATCGACACATGGTCATGAACATGTGTGTGGACGTATTTGTGCTGATTGCGTCCCAAACCAATCAGGCGTATCAAATTCTGAAGCTTTCGCACGTACCGTGCTTGGCGCTGCCACGTGATCGGTGTTGTTGTGATGCATTTGAACATCTGTCGGTCGGCCCCGTCTTCCACTCCGCGTCAATCAAACATGCACAAGTGGTTTTCCTCCAGGAGCTGTCTCCACTGTTTGGACACGATTGGTTGTAGTGCTGCGCCTGCCGCGCCAATCATCTCATCCTCCTTGGAGAGGCTCCTCCCGTGACGTCCGTCTGTATGCCAAAACTACACTTCCAATCGCCCACAGCCAAAGGGACACAGTAACTGCCAAGCTGATAGATTTCAGTCAGCCATCCAACCAAACATATGTTTAGTGACGTTCCGCAGCGTCTTGGCGGCCATTCCCCGTAGAGGAATCTACATCGGAAAGACTGCGAGTGATTTCTCGTCCAAAAGGCGACGAGCCAAACCCACACGTCTTCTTGAACAAATGAGTGGAGCTGTTACTGCGACGTGGTGCAACGTACCATACATGCGTCCTCCATGACTTCAGCGCCACATACATTATTTGGTACGCGCGGTCTCCTGCAGCCCATCTGGGTGCATCGGTGATTAGGCAATTGGCATTGTGAAGTATCAGAATATCCAGAATGACGCCCAGCGCCAATAGCAACATACATGCCCGTGGTCTTGGCGTACATCGGTATTGCTTCCGAGCGGCCCGCTGAACATTGTCAACAAGTATATGCACTGCTGCGGGTGAGGTAAGGTGTGATGGTATGGTATGCAGAGTGTGCCCGGGCCAGCCCTCCTTCCTGCGTGCTGACCTTTTACGTCCGGAGCATCGCGTGGTGTTGAGCGCGGGGGGCGTGGTGGGAGCTCGCTGGCCATAGGAGCTCCCGAGGGGGCTGGAGGACGAGGAGACGGCGTTCCGTGAGGGACGCTACTTGGCGGAGCGGGCCTCCATATGGAAGCCAGGGCGGAGAGGAGGGAGGAGAAAGGAGGACAGGGTGCACAGCGAGGAGTGGTGCTTGGTGGGATCGGCCTCCATGGACGCGAGGGGGGACAGTGCATCACTGCCTCTCCCAGGGCTCGAGCCAAACAGTGGTGTTCGTTTGCGTTTTGCTTTCCTGTTCCTTGGCTCTGCCTTCGTTCCGCCAGTTGTGTGAAACGATATCACAACCACCGTCCACGACATCGCCAGAGCACCGTTCGGCTTGAGCCCTGGCCTCTCCCCCACCGCACGCCCGAAGAGGGGACGCGCACAACCAGACCGCGGGCCCGAGACCCAGAGGCCCCAACGCTGCCCCCCGACCCCGACAAAAATACGCTCCCCGGGAAAAGCGAACATTCCCCGGGAAAAGCGAACACTCCCCGGTACAACCCTTCCCCGGCTTGATTCCCCGGTAGATTCTGTGAGAGGCGTCTGAGAGGCTTCTGAGAGGCGTCTGAGAAGCTTCT